TAAAATTAGTTACATGAAATTCTTTATGCAATTTACACATATTCTCGTTCCAAATACTAGTTAATTAGTGTCGAAATCATCAAAGATTGGACAATTTTATGAGAAAAGAGACCTAATTTAGAATATCATTGTGACATTAAAGTTTAGTAATTAAATTAAAAGTATGCTTTAATAATAGTAAATATGATCGAATAAATTAAGTAAGCAATTAGAATTTAATTAATGGAACTTGAACTATGAACTATGATTTGAACAACAATTTTATACAAATTATGTTAGTTTTTACGACATCAGCATTGAATAATTGGCGATATGTAAATAAATATATCTAAGTTGTGAAATACTATTAACTTTTTACTTTAGTTATTATCCAACCAAAAAGAAAAAGTTTACATTTAATAATGAATACATTTTGTTTATTAAAATAATACTAATGATATTTGAATTAGTTTTATTGCATCTAAGGATAAACTTTTCTGGTCTGGTCTGATCTGGTCTGAACTGATCTAGCTGGTCTGGTAAATGTCTGGTCTCAGTGTATTTTATAACTATCCAAATCTGATCTGATCTGGTTTGGTTTGATCTGATCTGGTCTGATTTGGTTTGATCTGATCTGATTTGGTTTGATCTGATTTGGTATGGGACTGAAAACAGTCGAAGTAAAACATCCTAACTTACTCATAATTGTACATTATTTTGACCAGTTCAATTGTAAACGAACACATATTAATATGGGGCAACTCAATCTTTTTTTGATGTTGGGAAAATTCTTGGGGGCAACTCAATCTTTTTTTATTGTAAAAACAAACCTCTTATATTAATATCATTAGGAAGCGAATGATTACAACAAACTCAAAAAGATCAACCCTGACAACAACTATCTCTAACCAACTAGCACTATCAACCCTACGGCTAGACTCACAGTCGATCACCCCTGAAAAAGCAATACGAATCGCTAACCACCAAGCGCGGGTGTGGCACAACAATAACTGGTCATTGTATATGATGAAAACGGTTAGCAACACAAGAGGGGGGGTGAATTGTGTGTGTGTTGAACCGTGGCAGTTTTTCGCCGAGTTCTAGTGTGGGATAAAGGAAATTGCTAGATAGTAAAGTGCACAAGAATTTAACGAGGAAAAATCCCTTGGCTCAAAGGGATTAAAAAAAACCTCGACCTCCCTCGGAGGAATTTTAAACAACTTCACTAAACAAGCCTTTCAAAGAGTTACAAGAGTGATTCTCCTAATCTACCCTTGAGCCTCCCCAACTCTATCCTCTCTAGGAAGAGTTATGCATCTCTACCTTGCGGGTAGAGAGCCTCTCAGCTTTATCACAAAGCTCTCACACACACTTAACCCGAGGCAGCTACTCTAGCCAATTAAGCCTCAATATTCCAAGTACAATATGAAAGGGAAAAGAAAAACTCTATCTAGAACTCCGAGCGGGCAGTTTCAGGCGCCAAGGACTTGATCCTTTCTTGAATGATTCTTCTAAGTATTTTTCTTGGTTCAGCACACTCCCCTTCTTGTTATACTGCTCGAATATATAGGCTCTCTCTCAAAATGAATCCGTTGGCCCCTTCCATGTATTGATAATTCTTGCCATGTTGTATTTGAATGACTTTCCATCTTGAGAGTTATCTTAATAACCTCACGCCCAAGAATGATGCTACTAAGATATTTTATTCTCTTAACATATTTGACCAAGCAACGAATTAATCAATAATATCTCATGCCCAAATAATACTTTTAAGTATGACCGCATCTTTAAGATGGTACGTAAATAGTTACCATATTGAGTGTACTGACACCTTTATATAAAGCAAGATTTTAATACTAGCAAGAGTACTTATTTGAGATATTACCCGAAATAGGACTAAAAAGATTTGAAAATTCTAAAATAGGACTGTCATGTTTTTATTCCCAAAATAGGACAAATTACTATCATGTTTTGGCAGTACCAGATTTCAAACATGACAATATTTTCCAAACTTGACAGTAATTGCTCCTATTTTGGGAATAAAAAACATGTCAGTCCTATTTTGGAATTATCAAACTGTTTTAGTCCTATTTCGGAAACTTTCCCTACTTATTTTAATTCTTAGCAAAAAGACCCTTTTAAAAATACTTAGCATGTTTAAATGGGCTTAAAATAATCTGCCCAACAACTATGATAATCTGAGAGTCATAGGAGAAAACAACAATCTCAAAGGGCGTCGAATTACGAACAACCGACATCTAAAGCCGGAGAAGACTCAATGCTTCGAGAAACCTCCACCTGAAACCAACCGAAGGTCGGCATCCTCGCCGAAGGTCGGAAGGCAACCGAAGACAGACAATATCAATCTAGGAACGGTGGAAAGCGCATCGTTGAAGGGTCCACCAGCTACAGACAGCCAGAACAGCGCATCTCTGTGCCGCAGCTGCCCATCCTCCTCAGCGCCAGGTTCCACGGCTGGCAAACCCACCTCCAACAGTGTGGACACACAAAGACCTGCCTTCGTCCAAGTCCTCACATGGGCAGACCTTCTACGGTCTGATACAGACAAAAAATATGACAAGGCCATTCACCCCCTCTCAATTATAAGTCAGAATTCAATACTAGAAGAAAAGTCAAATTCTACCAAGGACTCGGCACCTACAGACCCGACTGAAATAATTACGACAGACGAATTATTCCAGGTCTCAGACAAATTCCATTTCTTTGGAGAAGAAGGTTTTGACTCTATCAAATTGAAATCTAAGCTCTTTAAGTTTGGAATCAAAAATAACGAAATCACAATTTTTGAGATCAAGAAGTCGCTACTACACAAGATTAGTTTCAGTCTTGAATTGGCTCCCCAAATCATCCGCTATATTTATCAGTTCACAGGAGTCGACCGTCTCTACCCGCAACTAAGGAGATTTGGACCCATCTCGGTCTCTTCAAATTTTAATAAAGCCGTCGGCTTCATAAAAATTGGCAAAGAAAAAGGATATTTCATTGTGATTCCTGTAGGCCCACAAAAATCAAGGTTGCTCGAATTTCTGGCATTTTTTTCTAATTTTGTGGGAATTTCCGATTTAGTGCACGAGGAACCAATGCACAGGCCACAAGAAACCTTGTTACTTACAGAGGATCCACCATCAATATCTAAGCTTATTTTTGATTCTCAAATTCGGGGAGCCTACCCAGAGAAACAATGGTGTCCATTTCCGGAGGAACAACAAAAGCTTATTCAGGCATATTCAGACGCATCAGACTACTTTTATCACTCGGATGAGTCTTTTTACAAGGACGACTTTCTTGGACATGCAACTGAAAGTGACCGTCGTCCACCTATATCAACTCCGGCAGAAATTACAAGATCAAAATTCAACAGGGCGATTTGCAGCAAATCCAAGTTTGTTACCTCAGAGAATTGCCTGCCGACAGAAAACTTGAATACACAACTCAAAATATACAGGAAATCTCAAAAAAATAAAAGGCGCCATAGTATGAAGACTAGGTCTCAGTCTAGAGAGTTCCCCTGGGTTTAGTTTCAGGCTTTTTTTCTCTGCACCGTTTTATTTTCTTTCTTTAATTTCCTATTTTCATTGTACTATTTACTTTTTATTAATAAAATTCTCTTTTCCTAAAAAAAAAACAAAAAAAAAATGGGCTTCGACCAGTCAAGTTCAAATGCAGCAATAATGTTGAAAGGATACTTTACAAAAGTTACGGAGTATATGTTTAATTAAGCAATTACGTATGGAAAGGTGTTTGCTTTCCAGGCTGCTTGCATGGTATTTGTATTCACGTGTAGAACTGCTTTGTAGCGCATAGCAGTTCTAACTAATCCCCTGCATGGTTAGTTCATCAATAAGAAACTCACAAGTGTTTATAGACCAGGTCTATGCTTTGTTCCTGCACAGTTAGTCATCAACAAAACAACATATTCAACAGTATAGATCCTTCTAACGACATAATATCTACCAGAATTGTCAATCGAAATTGTAGACCTAAAACTAAAGACATCAACAAAAAACAAAGCAACATAAAACATAACGCAAAAATAAAACCATAAAAAATTAAATAACTGATAAATCTTCTAAACTCTAGCACCTTGATCGCTCCAAGGCGGCGGTTCAGGAGGGGGTGCAGACCGCCGATCTGTCTTCTCCCTTGCTGGTTGCTCAGCCCTTCACCTCTCCCCATCTTCTCGTCACCTGTTCCGCCTCCACTACTACCATCACCCTCTACCCATGTTGATTCGCCAGAAACTAACCCTTCGACCTCCTCAATTGCAGGAATGAGACAATACTGCTCTAGATCATAGAAGACATGATTATTGTTTCTTGAACCTTGGATTCGTTTCCAAAACATGCAGCCGCACTCACGCCCCCTTAAAAAGCACTCTAAAAGTCTAGAGAAGAAGAGCCACACAAACAATTGGCGGAAGGAAATCCTACACGACAGTAAAGCCGCTAGGGAGTTAAAACCCTATGCCATAGCCGCTAAGTAGAAAACTGCCGGGCTGCTTCTCTTTTTCGATCACCTGGAGCTGCCAAGTGTTGAGTAGCGAAACAGCCAATATGTTAGCAACTCAATCTTTTTATTGGGGGCAATCTATTTTCTAACAATTATTTGCTTTATTATATACTATCCTCCGTTTCTTTTTAATCGCAACATGTTGAATTTTACACTATTTACATGTGTTACTTTGACTACATTTTACGCTATTATTTTATGAGTATTATTTAAAAAAAAATATTGTTCAATTCATCTCATTACAAATTTTCAGAATATGATTTTTAATTTTGTTTACGAATAAAGATTAAGATATAATTACGGTTAAAGACGTGCATTGACAAATGTGAAACGTTGATCGTTACAACTGAAAAAGAACGGAGGAAGTATATAGTACGATAGTATAAGAAATTAGAAACTTTATTGGGGGCACATACCGACATGCCCCCATTCTCTAAGCAATAGAGCTCTCTCTCTCTTTATATACGTAGTATATGTGTGTGATGTGCAAATGTTGGGTACAATTTTTCTTGTAGAATTGAAATAAAATTGGTGTATTTTTGAATTTGTACAGCTACGCAAAACAATGGGCCACCAGGCAAAGCTACTATTCATCATCCTATATAAAGCCTACAATTTGGGGACCATCCATCAGATACAAGTAAGGCTCAATATATATAATGTCGACAGAAAGCAGCTGTGTGCAAGTTCCTCATATGAATGGTGGTGCGGGAGACAGCAGCTATGCTCATAATGCAACAGCTCCGGTCCGTATTTTCTTCCTTTCTCCTATTTTTCTCTCCCTCAAACCCTGGCCAACTTACAAGCTAGTTTAGTTTTGGAGGTGAAAGTTTCAAAATATTAGAATACTTCTTTTTTAAATGCAACGGTCCACTTTTTACGTTTGCCAACACACAAGTTTGATTATTAATATCTTGCATTCCTTATTAGTAAAAAAAATTAAAAAAAATTGATTTTGAAAATTTAAAAATGAGTGAATTTAAAAGTATTTTTTTAATTTAATTTATATTGTAATACATTAATAAATAAAATAGAGTCAAAGTAGAACACGTGAATAGTGGAAAAAGATGAACGTTGCTTTTAAAAAAAAGGATGGAGTATAACCTATTTCAATGTTATCTAGAGAGCTCATAATATGTTATATAATTCATATGTAGTCTTTACTAGATGGCGTTCATGTATGTCTTCATTAATTACCAGTTAAAGGTGATGATGAAGGCCAAGCCAATCATGGAAGAAAGCATAAAGAAGATGTTCGAGAGAATCATCCCTTCTCAAAGCTGTTTCAGAATTGCAGATTTGGGTTGCTCTTCGGGAGTTCATGCATTAATTGCTGCATCCAACATTATGGACACTATTGGTATGGCAGCAAAAGAAGCAATGAAAATCAGCAATACTAATATTAATGAAAAGCCACCTGCTTTCCAGGTTTTCCTTAATGATCTGTTTGGTAACGACTTCAATACATTGTTCAAATTGATTCCTGGATTTCTGAAAGAGAAGAGGAAGACTGGTGGACCATGTTTCTTTAATGCAACACCTGGGAGTTTCTATGGCAGACTCTTCCCCTCGCAGTCCATACATTTATTCTTTTCCTCTTTCGCAATCCATTGGCTGGCTCAGGTCACACACCTATCTTAATGTCCTGTTCGATTCGACTCGAATTTTCTAGTAGTGGACTGGTCTTGTCCCGTCCGATCTAGTCTAATAACGTCTAAATCTATGAAGCACGGAAACTTTCAGGAAAACGTACGTTCCCGTTTCAAAAACTAGACGAAAACTCTTTTGGGACTCTCTAAACGATTGTTGTTTTTGAGTAAAATATTGCATTTCCGTTTCCCAGTTCCTCAATATTTTCATGTTTCCGTGCAACATAGCGTCTAACATTATTTTCATTTATAGTCTGGATCTTGATCTTATTTGGTCTGTTTATGCCTGACCAAGTCTGTTGCAATCTAATCTAATAATGGTGTTTGCAATAGTAAACTTACTATTTTACTTGTTTGCATATAAGCAGGCTCCCAAAGATATAAAGGGAGAAATACAACTACCAATTAATGAACGAAGCAATGTTTATTTGACAAGCAAAGCTCCACCATCTTATAAGGATCAATTTAAGAAAGACTTGCAATTGTTCTTGAGATCACGTTCTGATGAAATAGTCCCTGGGGGAGCCATGCTCCTAACTTTGATAGGCAGATACGACACTCCTGATTTTATAAGCCCTTCAAGCATCTTCCGTCAAGTAATCGTAGATATGGCTTTAGAGGTATGTAACTAGAAATGTTGTTTGTACCACCCTTATACCCACCATGTTTGTGCAAGGTGTTACAAAAAAACAAAATTGACACGAATTTGGCACGGATCTTTGACACGGATTTGTCAAAATTCATAGGGTATTTGACATGAATACTTCTAATCCGTGCCAACTCGTTTAATCCGTGTCAAGGCCGTGTCAATATCATTGTTTTCTTGTAGTGAGGATTTTTTTTATATGTGAATCCCGTTCACTGACAAAATATGTCTGTGCAAAGTTTGCACAGACAAAATAAGACACATTTTGTTTGAGAATCGGGATCACAGACAAAAAAACCTTCAAAGACATTGTGGATATAAGGATGGATACAACAAGAATGTCTGATCTAATCATTTCATTCATGTAAAATTTCACTCAACCGTTAGATTTTTGGAAGCAAAGATAACAAACTGTTAAATCATTTTATCTCTTGCCCCCTTTTTTGGCCGTTAATAGCATTAAAGTATCATACATAATTCATACTTCGTAAACTAGACATAAAGATTGAAATAACATTAATAATACTCCGTATATTTCCTCCGTTCTAAACAATTTACAATTCGCGAGTTTTAAGATTAAGGGGTGTTTGGATCTGATTCTCAAAACTGATTTTGCTTATTCAGGGAGCAGAATCAGAAGCTGGAGTGTTTGGGCGAAATTCCAGAAGCACTTCTGGAGCTCTAATTTACTCTCAGAATCAGTTTTTTTAGAAGCTGGGGGTATCGGCTTCTGAAAACTGATTCTGATTCTGCTTCTGCTTTTAAAGAAGAAGCAGAAGCAGAATCAATTCCAAACATCCCTAAATCTTCCTTAGTTCCTTACAAATCATTAAATCAGTTCAAATTCTACATATTTAGAAACTGGACCGTAATGTTTACAAAATTGCAAAATCAGAATTAGAATATGATCCATTAAAAACTTATATCATAACTATGAAAATTATTTTATAACACATACATAAACTATATACGGAGTACTAGTCAAACATGTCTAGTTAATTAATCTAAGATGAGCTGAGAGGTTTGTTTTGGGCGCAGAATATAATTGAAATGTCAAAATTGGAGAGTTTGAGACTTCCTGCATATTACCCTCCTGCAAAGGAAATCCTAGAAATGATTGAGGAAGAAGGATCTTTTAAGATTGAAAGTCTAGAGAGTTTGAGATTATGTTGGGATGGATCCAACCTCAATGAAGATGGAACTGATAATGATTTGTACTCTTTGGTGGATGTAAGAAAGAGAGGAGTGTTCTTGACCAGATATATAAGATCAGTCTTTGAACCTCTTTTAAAAGCACAGCTTGGAGAAGGACTCATGGATGAATTATTTCTTAGGTTTCAGAACAAAGTTGTCCAATTCATGGATCGATTGGAATATCCCATTTTGGTTTTATCTCTCTTTGCTAATTAAATGATTGAGAATATTAATCTGTCAAATTTTGTATCAAAAATATGATCAAACATATACGGAGAAATTAAACATCGCAATAAAGCAATATTAAATGGTGTTTACAAATGATGCTCATGAGTCTCCTTAGTAATCTACTAAAAGACTCTTAGTTTTCAAGGGGGTTACAAATGTTTACTATGGAGTATAAATTACGCCTTTGTTTTGCCTTTGTTTTGTTATCAAGGGCGGCCCTATATGTTGGAAGGCCTATGGTGAAAAATTAAAATGGGTCTAATGTTATAAAAAAATTGTAGAATTGAACCCTTTTCTATCTAAACTCACTTGCATAATAATTTAGGAAGGAAACAATGGTTATTCTAATTGTACATTTTATCAATGTTTAAGTTATATTTAAGGAAATAAATCTATTATTATCACCTCCTAAATCCCCACTCCAATGATGTAATCATTCTGAATCGTTTCATTTTTAGTGGCTAAATTATTGTTCTATGAGTTCTCATCTTGAAGATGACATTCAGAATTTGACTTCTTACTTAGCGCTGTTTTCTCTAATCTTCTCCTCTTTTTTATTTATATATTACACCTTTTTATATATTACACCTTGAAATTAATTAAATTTTTAACATTTATCATTATTGAAAATGTTGGTCTAACAAAATCAACAAGTTGTCAAGTTATATATAGCACCAACACTCAATACAAAGCAATCAACAATTAAGAAATCAAACCATCAACTATGAATAGAATCAATTAATAAACTAATCAAATAATCATATGAGACTAATCTGCTTTCCAGTGAATTTTTTTTAATGAAATTTTAAGGCAATGTTTTTCATCAAGTGTAGATTATGTCCATGAAATTTCAGCTTAAAATTCAATCGTGAAGTAAGTTAAATAAATGATTGAAAAACAATGCACCAAAATATGTATACAAACGTAGTGTTTTTCAATAATTTATTTAACTGACTTCTAAATTGAAGTTTGAGTTGATTTTTTTTACATAATCTACACTTCATAGAGAACATGATCATAAGTTTTCACCAAGAAAATCCATTCCGAAGAACTTCAACAAATGTAGCGCGGGAAAATGAGCCTACTCACACCTATTACAAAGAACCAAACTTGGGCCTATTTTTTATCCATTTTTTGGGCCTAGGGCACCCGCCCCACTTGCACCCCCTAGGGCCACCCCTGTTTGTTATGAGTGAATAAAATTTGTGTCTTTGTTTTGCTATGATTTCTTCTATATAGTACAGAGTAGTTGGTTTCTTTTTTAATATTATGTCTTTTGTCTTGTGGAAAATTTTAACATATTATTAGCACAAGTCCTTCCTTTATCCAAGAATCTATCTATATATATACAAACCACCGTGGAAACAATGGCCAAACTCCCGCTCAAAAATGTCTCAATCGTTGGTCAAAACTCAAAAGTCAGTCCATGAATGGCACTGGAAAGTAGGGCTGCACAAGAATAACTCGAACCCGCATAACCCGTCCGACCCAACCCTACCCGACCTTATTTAATCGGGTATTTGATTTTTAAAAATACCCATGAGTTAAATATGTTTGAACCCGCATCTAATGGGTAGGGTTGCAGAATTAAAATCTCAAACCCGATAGTACCCGACCCGGCCGAAGTTCATTTTACTATTATTATGCTACAACGTTTTCTTGGATAATTTCAATTTAAGACCAATGTGCTCTATTTAGGACTTTATGATATTAGAATTATAATTAAACATTTATCATTTTGACTAGGTGATTATTATATATTTACTTTTCCTTCTAAATGAACTTCCTTTACGGAAGGATGTTTTAATACTATTACCTAATATTTTTGCTTATAAAAGATACGAGTACTTGTATTTGTTTGTGTGTTTTGGAAACAAGTTAATCGAATTTTAAATTGGTTACATTAATTTCCCACATGAAAGATACAACCCGAAGTGATTTTTTTCGCCAATACCCGACCCTACCCGACCCGTTCATGCATGATTTGCCAACTTATTTTGCGTATCGCGGATTGGTTAATAGTCAACCCGAAAAAATCGGGTAGGCCCAAAAAAATATAGCAAACCCGACCCAACCCGCCAGATGTGCAGCCCTACTGGAAAGTCGGAGGTTAATAGAGGGTATTCCATATAGCCCATATAACCCGCCGGATATTGTCGATTTCATAGCCACCCGGATATCGCCAATTTCATCTGGATTTGGCATAGAGGAGGCAAAGCATGGGGCGATCGACGGCTAGCAGTGACGCATCCACGGCAGCGACATCAACGGAGGGCCATAGACGGTGGAGACCGCATCAGATTGAGACTGCTTGCAATCAGGTGCATCAGCAACCAATTTTCTGGTCTGGAGGACGGGAACGGCTGACCTAGGGCTTTCTTTTTAAGAGACAGTTCCAATCCAAAGAGGACGAGGAGGCCGGTGAGGCAAGAGGCAGACAGGCAGCCTCACAGACATGCAGACTTCAGGAAGAAGAAATATGACAGATAAGGTTTCTTCGGGTTTGACCGGGGGATTCTGATGTAAAGGTACAACCAGTAACTTCTTCAAGTAATTTCCCTTGTATGAGGGCTGGCCATAGGGGCATCCAGCCTAGACATTTGTCTAGGGCCTCCAATTTCTAAGGGGCCTCCAATTTTTCATGTAAGCCCATACATATTATATACAAATACTTGATTTAAATTGCTAATTAATGATAAAACATCTTCTAATCTAACAAGTACGGAGCAAAACATTAAAAAATTTAAAACCGGCAGACGAGTGAGGGAGCGGACGAGTCTAAGAGTCTTCAGTTTTCTCGATTTGACCCTTCAATTTCTCTTATTCGGCTCTTCAGAAACGGCAAATCCCAGCAATCGCCAATAGCTGGTCCCCTACTCCCCTCTCAATTCCGCCGGCGCAGACCGCAGTGGCCACCGGCCACAGAGTCCCAACAACCGCATCGTGCACAGCAGCACAGGGCCACTGGCTAAAAGAGTAAAGGACTAAAATTATGTAATGGTCTTTTGTCCAACTGTCTTTACTCGTAATAATCTTTCTGGTAGCTTTTAAAATGATCAAATCCTTCAATTATTGATGTAGTTGATCTATCTTTTAATTTGATTGCCTTGAATTGTTAATTCTTTAATAGTTAGTTGGTGTTAGGACTTAGGCAGTAGGTTATAGCCTTCGGTAGAGACATGGGGCTGTAGGGACTAGGCTATTGGTATTTGTTGTATAATTATATTATAATAAATCAAATAATAATAATTCAATTTAATCATTAAAAATTATTGTGTATTTGTATAATTGTATTTATATTATTCAATATTGAAAGTTAGAAAAACTTTATCTAGTTAGAAATTGTATGAAATTGTAGGTTTACGGGAAAACGAAAACATGACTCGGGGTCTACAAAGAGATTGAATAAATTAAGAAAAGACATGGTCATAAAATCATTTGCCGGCCTATGGATCGGTACATAATATCTAAACCTTATCCCTCAAATATTGTTGAGAATGAGGCTACAAATGTTGAGGTTGAAGTAAATGTTAATATTATATGGTGCATTTCATATATAATTCACTTTTATTTCATTTGAAATTCTATTTTTTATATTGTTATATTGAATTAAATGTATCAAAACAAAATGTCTAAATGACCGTCTAGGGCCTCACAATCGCTCTAGACGGCCCTGCTTGTATCATAAGTTTTATATTGAAAATTAATACTCTATTTGTTTGTTGATGCTTGGAATAATTTTTCAGCCGTAACTAGCTTTTGTTGAAGTAGAAGAGATCTTCTCAATCTGTAGGTTAAAAACGCAGGTATAGTCACATACCACTTTATAAGACTTCTTAGTATTTTTTCATCAATTGGAGTTCTGTATAAGTGAGGCATGAAGTAAACTCTGATTACTTACCGTGTTTGATAGTAGTATATTAGAGTGATGGTTTACATCTCCTTATGTGCTTGGCAGTAGGGTGAATTTGACTTGACTGTATGGGGTATGCAATCGGGCTTGCTTCATGGATTTTTATGTATTTTATTTGGTGATGATTTTGAATTTGTTTCATCATTTTCAGTTTTTGTTTTTGGAGGAGATTAAAATTAAGGATGAGCGATTAACTGAAATTGGGGTAAGTTTTCAATGTTTGCTCTTAATTAGTTTTCTAAGAGTACATTATTTTATCTTTGAGATTTAGCAGCCATTTATAATTTAAAAAGGCAATATCTGCAATACATGTATGTTATGCTATCATATTGTACCTTAAAACTCTATCTATATTTATATTTAGAACCTCTTACAATTCGTGTATGTTTTGCTATCATATTATATGTTATGTTTAAGCCTTCACTTTCAGAGTAAAATTTTGACAGTTTCCACCTGCTGGAGACGATTCTCTCGGGTACCAAGTAGGCAAGCAGTCGAGTACAGACCATTGATTGACCGACAGCGCTGCCTATCAGTGAGCACCGAATTGCTAATGCCAACCTAAGTGGGCTGAGCGAGTCTTCTTTTCTACTTCTCTTATTACACTGTGATTTTGTCTCTTAATCTCTTTAGTAGTCAATAGTCATTATTTATTCTCATTCTTTTATCTGTGTTGCTGCCTGCTGCTTCTGCTTGTGTAGTTCGGTAGTTGTACAAAAATGACTGACGAGTTAATTAAACGACTAAAGGACTAATGAGTAAAGCATTCCTGCAACTGGAAGTTTTTGTTCTCTATGGCCTGGATCAAGGATTTTTACTTTTTCAGGATTTGAAATAAATTTCTATATTTATTATTTGAATGGGATTGAAGGTCTAAAGTTACACTTGTGATTAATGGTTTTTTTTATCGTTTATTAATGGTTATAATTTATAAACTATTGAGTTAATATTGCTATATTGGCATTGCATGGATGATAAATACATTATGTATATTGTGCTTGTGCAGTTGTGCTAATAGAAAATTTGAAATATTGAAGTAAATTTTACTTTATTTGATGGTACTTGATGGTCCCGGATAGGGTAAAAGTCTAGAGGGGGGGTGAATAGACTTTTAAATCTTTTTCATCTTTATGAAGTTTTCCCTCTAGAAAAGTTAATCTATAATC